AGCTTTATTAATACATTGTATTTAATCTATTACAGTTTGATAAGTGTTTCTAGATTATAAACAAACTGCCATATCAGAGAGAGGATGCCCTGTTGCCAAGGCAGGCACGTTCTCCTTTATCAATTACCAATTTTTATTACATTGAGATTCCATATCTTTTTTTTATTTTGTTTTTTTATTGTAGAGATGAGGTCTCGCCGAGTTGCCCAGGCTGGTCTCAAACCCACAGGCTCAGGCAATCCACTCACCTCGGCCTCCCAAAGTGCTGGGATTACAGACTGAGCCACCGAGCCCGGCCGAGATTCCGTATCTTCAAGCTATTTCCTCTCCTCCGTCTCAGTGAGCTTCTGTAATACAGAAGAGTGGATGGGGTGGCCTTTTGAGCCTCTGTTTTCTCTGGAAGAAGAACTACCATAAAACCCAATCCTCCAAAGTAGTATAGGGTACTGAATTCTTCCTCAGGGCAATAGTGTAAATAATTTTAATGTATACACAGTGTAAGACACAGTGACAAAGACTGTTCTGCATGTACAAAATATACAAAAATGCTCAAACTCCTCAAATGGAGGAAATATAAATTGGTTGTTTTGCCAACATAGTACGAAACCAAATAATTTATTTCACTACTTAAAAAAAGTCAAGACTCAGAATGAACTGTTTTAGCACCATATTTAGCACTGAAACAATGTTTTTGTCAATGTGATGGCTTTTTCTTCATTCATTTTCACGATTAATGGGATTAACATGACTTTTTGATAAAATGCACTTAAAAGAAAGAAGAGAGAGAGGGAGGGAGGGAGAGAACTCCCTGACGTTTAAAAAGTAAGTGTGGTGTAGAGCTTAGAAATGTGAGCTCTGGTGTGGGAGCCCTCAGGCTTGAACCTTGTAACCGTGGAACCTTGAACAAGTTACTGAACCTGTCTGTTAAGTAGCTTCATCTACTCAAAAGAAGTAATAATAGCACTAATCTCATCTCATTCGTGTTAAAATTTCAGTGTCAGGCACATAGTTTGTGCTCAACAAAAGCAAGTTATTATGATTTACCTTTTATAATTAATTCCCAACATATTGAAATTAACATTAAAAAAATAAATCCCAGATTAGAGTCAGGTCTCTGTGTCTGCTGCTAGCTTTATGATGCTGTGTGGGAACTTCAGCTTCTGGGTCTCAAACCTGCCGTGTGTCAGGTGGAGGAGCCAGACTCTCATCTCTCAAGGGCCTTGCCCTCTCTCTGAGCTTTCTCTAAGCCCTGTGCTAAAAAGCATTCCTTTTCTAAGGAAAATGTTTTGAGGAACGATTGTCATATATTCATATTACAGGATAAAAGCATCCTAGCAAAGTCCTTAGAAAATTGAGTTTCTGTTCAAACAAACTCTGTATTCTACATTTCTTTTCACAGAAATCTATGCTAATAAAAGGGCTAAACATTTTTTTGGTGAGGAAAGCAGTAGAACTGTGGATCATATCTTGGGTTTCTGGAAAGTGTGTAGTCCTACAGGCAGAACAGTGGAGAGAAGGACAGGAGAGTGAATGTTCTGCTTCTGAGGAAATGTTACAGCTACAAGAAGTCAAATACTTGTGGTCTTCCTTGCTACATGTCCTACTTTTATGATTTAGGCTTCTCAGTAACCATACCATTAGCTATAACTGTCCTTTTTGGCACGGTTATTGTCAGAGCATGCCAAGCCTTTACTGACTGAACCTGAAGAAATAAAAATGAACAAAGGAAAAGTATTCTGCTAGTTAGTGGTAGTCTCAAGGGACCTGGGGACAAAGTAAAAACAGAATAGCCAATGTGGGGTTGTGATGTCATTCTGTCCACAGATCTGACTTAAGAGCTGGGCTTTTGTATGATCTGAAGAGTATGTGTGGTTCTGTAAATAGTTTAGTACTTCCTCCTAGGAGAAAGTCTCAATAATATTAAACCTCTCAGCTTCTCATGGACTAAAATTTAAATATCCACTGAGTTTTGGGCACCTGGAAGAAATGTTGACTCATAGAGTCAAGAAGTTGACAGTCATTATTTCTGCTTCTTCTGGCCCAAACTGGTACCTTCAAGGTAGTTTACAAGGGGGACCCAAAAAACCTCAGAACTTATTTAGAAAAAATTGTGTATTTATTCTTACATGTTTAAACTTCAGTCACCTTCAAAGTACTCTCTGTTTGATGCAATACACCCATCAAGATTCTTTTTCCATTGCTCAAAACAGTTTTGAACTTGTTGATTTTGATGCCGTTTAGTGTGTCTGTCGTTCAGGGAAACAAGCAAAAAAAAAAAAAGCCACTTGGGGTGAGACTGGGTGAATAGGGAGGGTGGGGCATGGTAGGCATACTTTTTTTGGTTAAAAACTGCTGAACACTCAGCACGGTGTGGGCAGGTATGCTAGTAAGTCATCTATCGAGAAGCGGGCAAACACAATGAAAGACTCTCAGATGAAAAAAAACATCTCACTGAAGTTGAACTCGGCCTCTCACAAAAATGCTAGCTGGTATGTGGATGCCTGTAACACTTACCTACAGGGAAGAGTGTACTAAAAGAGGCCCTGCTCCCCCTCCTCTCTCCCCGCAAAAATAATAATTCCAGTTTTTGGGGGGAGGGTTCCCCCTTATACATGGAGGCTGAATTGTCAAAATGCACATTCACAAATCCACAGTAAAGATGCAAATGGCCAAAGAAGAACCCGCCATTTCCTTTTCTCTTCCTCACTTCTCCACCTGCTGCAGTCTGGCTGTGGCTCCCACCTCTCCTCACTGATGAGGTCTCCAGTGATTTCTCTGTTGATAAGTCCAACATATAATTCTCAGTCCTTATCTGACCAGGTCTTGCAGAAGCATCTGATACTGGAAAGTTCTTTTCCTTTGGTTTCTAGGACATTACTAGAGTGCAAGTTTCATGAGTATAGAAACTGTGTCTGAGGCATTTTTTACAAGATTTGGCAAAATGCTGCTCATCACAGATGCCCAGTAAGTATTTGAGAGAATGATTCAGACTCTCCTGGCTCATCTCTGATCTCTGGTTGATCCTTTGCAGGACTCTCTTTCTTGACTTCTTGATTCATCCCATAAACATCGATGTTATTCTGGGTGGGTTCGAGACATGCTTCTCTTCTCCATACAGTCCTCCTGGGTGACTCTGTCCACTTCCCTGTCTTTGCTGACTATCCTTCCATGGAGGATCCCAAAGCTTTTTCTTTCAGCTGAGACCCTCTATATAGCCTTTCATGCCTACTGGATATCTCAGTTTTTCTTTTTTTTTTTTTGAGTTGGAGTCTCACTCTGTCACCCAGACTGGAGTGCAGTGGCCGCTCCCGGCCACCACAGCCTCGACCTGCTGGGCTCCGGCGATCCTTCCGCCTCAGCCTTCCAAGTAGCTGGTACTACAGGCGTGCACTACCATGCCCGGCTAATTTTTTGATTTATTGTAGAGATGAGGTCTCACCAAGTTGCCCAGGTGGGTCTCGAACCTGCGGGCTCAGGCAATCCACTCACCTCAGCTTCCCAAGGGATTACAGGCTGAGCCACTGAGCCCGGCTGGATATCTCTGTTTTGATGCCACACTGACATTTAAAACACTTCCTCCCTGTTTCTTTTGTAGTAAGTGGACATCTACTCAACTGTTCAAACCAGAAACTTAGAAGTCACCCTTAAGCCCTTCCCTCCACACATACTCTCTGGAACCATTCACCCCAGCATTCAATCTCTGAGTTCTGTAGAGTCACCTTCCTAAGTCTCTCTGGAATCTATCCACTTCTTACCATCCTAGCTCAGGCCCCCATCTTCTCTGGGTTACTTCATCAGCTTCTCCAACTGGTCCAGCTTCCATCTGTGGCCTCCCTCTCTCCCTCCAGCTAACCCACCAATACCACCCACCAACCCTACCCTGTTAGCCAGGAGTTCTTCTGGCTAACTCCTACTTATCCTTCAGGTTTCTAGACATCATCTCCTCCAGGAAGACTTTTCCTGACCCCATCCAGCTTGAGCCAGTTGCCCTTGCTATGCAGCTCCCTAAGCATCCCCATGAGAGTGTTTATCACATAGCAGCATCATTTTCTATTTAATGTCTGCATCCTCTGCTAGATGTATCTGTGTGACTTGTTATTTTAGCCTCTGAAGCTAGGGCAGTAACCAGAATGATATTTACAAACTTCAGAATGAATATATGAAACTAGATTTGTGAGTCTATAAAATTCAACTCAAAACTAGGTGCTGTAACTCTAAAATAATTTGATAAACAAACAAAACCTTGTGCCCTTTCAAATGGAACAAAGAAAAAGGTCCTTCTTGAGATGGCAGGTAGGAATAACTGAGAGTACAGAGGACCTTTCATATAAGCACATGTTGATTTGGGTTAGCTTAGGTTTACATCCAGGAAGCTACTTCCTAAATTCATTTTTAAATTGATCCTCCAGGTTGAGTCTATGTGTAATCTTATATAATAAACTAAAAGTAATTCAAGTATTACCTAAGGTCCAAAAAGCCTGGAAAAGAGAAAAAAGTTATAGTCTTCTTATCCCTATATTTTTAAGTAAAAATACACTAATCATATTTTAACAATCATATTTTACATTTAAGGAGTTTGAAGCTCATCCACGCCAACATCTTACAGGTGAGAAAATGGACTCAGAGAGGCAAAGAAATGTATCAGGTTCATTAGTGGTGCAGTGGTGTCAGGGACCTGGTCCCCTGACCTGCGGGTGTGCACTGAGCCATTACCATCATTTTTTATCATAAGTTTGCTGCACAGGCGGTTGTGTTTTTCAAGAGCACGCTTCATGTGGAATGTTCCTTCCAACCACATCTACGACTAATAACAATTTCATCCTTCAACAATCTGAGGAAGACAAATGAAGTAGAACACTCATCAGATCAATGATAGGAATCTTGTTGGTGGCAGCATTAGGGGAAATAGGAAGAATAGCAGCAGGGGGACAAGAAAGAACGTGAGAGGAACTACTTAAGTGTGCCCAGGGACGCAGGAAGAAATATAGCAAGGAACTTACCTTTTCTTTGTCACTAGCTTCTCTAGCCACTGTAGAGCCCTGAAACACAAATAAATAGAAAAAAAAATGCACAAGTGAGGCATCAAGTTTCACATGTATAAAACACGAAAATGGTTCTAGGCAGGGCAGAGAGGCTCAGCATCCACTCTGAGTTGGAGTGCACCCTGAGTGGGCTTCTTTTCCCTCCCTGACCACAGCTCCCTGTCTGGTCTGTGTGCCCCCCCCACAGGTGTTCCTGTCCACTGGCCACTTCTCCAGCCCTGACTCTGTTGTGCTCATTTGTCTTGCTCTGTTTTTTGTCTACATGCTGGAACTCAGAAAATCTGACTATCACTTGAGCAGTTACTAAACACTAGATCAAACTCAGTTTCCATCTTGCATCAACTGCCAGAAATCGTTGTCTTATCTTAAATGGGATGTGGGCCATCAGCCAGTTGGGGTGATCACCAGGGCATTAAATGCTTATTTTCCTGTTACATCTCCCAGGTGTGGGCATGTCCTTGCCCTCTGATTGCTTTTTCTGCAGTACTCAGTATTTTCTCCTGTCTTAGAGTTATCGAAGAACAACTTTTCCTCACGTATTATACATCAGTCCCCCAAGGCCACTTTCTGACCCCCTTTACTTTGGAGATTCCTTCAAAGACACACATTTACTTGTACCTCTTTTGTGTCAGGCCCTATGCTGAGCACAGATGTACAAAGTAGAAGAAAACACAGTCATTGATCTCAGCAGTGTCCACTCTACTGCAGTGGTTTTCAAAACTATGCCTCAGAGTTCTGGGTTGTCCAAGATGACCCGAATCTACCTCAGATGCCAACAGGGAGGTTTTAGGGGTAGAGTTCAAGCAGAGAAACTTTCCTTTGCTTGTGGAAGACTTTAATTCAGAAGAAAAGCTGAGAAACAAATGATCCAATGACTTCCGAAATATGTGAACACAACAGTGACTATTCTTTGTTTTCTTCAGTAGTGATCATGTGACATGATCACAGCAGATGTCCAGTGATTATTGAACAAAGGACTGTAGAAGGACAGATTAATTTCCTGAACTCCCTTCCCCTCCTTCACTGGATACCTTAAACTTCTACTAGGTTAGCAAAGCCACTGTTCACCTGACCACCTCTTAAATAGACATCTGTTGCCCTGAAATACTTGAGTTAGCCAATCATTAAAATAATTTGACTTGGGGAAACTGAAAGTGGCTTTTAGATTGGCCATTTGCAAATACATCAAAATTTTTATACATATACCATCTTTCATTTGAGCAGCTCAGGCATTGATTAGGGTTTGTGCTGCCTGTAATTCACAAATGCAGAAAATTGGACTGAAGAGACTAGACTCCTCATGCTAGGGAAGGGTGCCACAACCAGGCCTCCAAACTCCCCAGGGCTATCTTCCAGGCCCCTGGTACTCAGCATCCCTGGGACTGGTGGATCCCAGAGATCCTGCTGATGGCTCAGAGAAAAGGCTCAATTTTTTTTTTAGAGTCAGTCAGAGGAGCACCAAGATGACCCATCAAATGGAGATGGATAAATGGGATGAAGGAATACTTGAGGACCCATCCCACAGCCACAGTCCAGACCACTCTGCATAGCTGAGCCTTCCACTGTCATCTACTACCGTCCACTTTCTTTTCTTTAGGGATTCCTGAATATGGACTACAAGTATTTTCTTTTCCCTCCTTCCCTTACACGGTGATTTCTAACAAAGAAAGTTCCCAGTTTTAAAAAGAGAAACGGGACAGTAACACTTGAGCACTGCCTACGCTGCTTGGCAGAGGAAGAAACTATTTATTATACTTTGCATCCTTCACCAAGTTGTTGGTTTGTGTGTGTGTTTTCCTTCCTACAATATAATTCACCCTGCTTCTGATTCTCAAGGAAGCTTAATCTCTATGAAAATGCTGGTTATTAGCCTGGAAAGGAGTAAAAAAAAAAAACTCCTTTAAGTTTAAATTAATTCACAATAAAAACTGAAACAAAAATAGAAAAGTAAGGCCATGAGTTTAAGCCATGAAACAATGCCAAATGCACAGGCATCACAATGGAAAGCACTGGCAAGAACAGAATTTATCTACTGTACAAGCCAGAAAGGGAGATGAAATTATGAAATGCAAGACAAATTAAAACTAGAACATTCAATTTACAAATATAATTTATATCACGATATGTTTACTAGACTCCTACTTGTCTGAGACATTATCTTAGGCATTTCAGGGGGGATAAAAGTCAGCAGAAAACACTTGACCTTAAGGCACTTACAAGCTAATAGAACAGACGAGGCAACCAAGTTCACTGATGCTTCCCATATGCCATGCCTTGTGCTGTACATGGCCCATATGCATCTTATTTAATCCTCACAACAACCCTGCAAATGTGAGTAAAATAAACTCTGCTTTAACAGATGAAGAAACTGATTTGGCTAACGACTCATAAAATCAGGATGCGTGGCATTGGAGGTCACTGGTTTTCACATGGATGGAGGGTGAGACCAGCACATGTAGTCCTGAAATCCTCAGCAGGATTTCACATGCTATAAAGAAAAGTACTTCAAAGTCTTCACAAAAGAGCTGGTGGGGCCAGAGCCCTGGAGGTTGGCTGGGATCGCCCCAGGGACAACTCCAGGGGAACAAAATGGCCCCAGCTAAGACTTGAACGCAGGAAAGGGTGAGGCTGTATTTGGGAAGTTGATCCAGTTTGTCTGGATTTCAGAGGTCAGGAGACAGGTCTAGGCCATTTATTTCACTTAAACTAGCATTTCTCAAAGTGTGGTTCAGTACTCTGAGCTCCTAAGACCCTTACAGGGAAACACTATTTTAATCATGTCGAGACACTTTGTTTTCTACACTGTCTTGATAGTCACAAAAACAATGGTGTGAAAAGCTGCCGGCAGTTTAGCATAAATCAAGCAGTGGTACCAAAAGGTACTAGCAGCATCTGTGGTTTAAAAAAAAAAAAAAATCCACATTTAAAAAAAAACTAGCATTTTTTAAGAGACCTAGTGTCATTTCAGTGTGTACATGCCACATACCATGGTTTTTGTGACTTGTTAGCTGTGTGCAAGTTGCTGAACCTCTATGAGCCTAAGACAGTGCTTCCCAAGTAGGCATCTAGTAAATATATGAAGATATATATGCTGAAGCAATAAAGTTAAATGTATCAAATCTTGACCCTGGAGTACACACCTTTTCTATATTCTGTGTGGGAAGTATGACAAAGCACTTCTGTTTATAAATAATAAATCGTTTTTCAAAAACTGTTTTTATGATGGTTTGAGTTATAAGCTAAACTAGCTACCTTTTTTCATGAAACAACATTTTTATTTGAAAGAATGGCTGATAGCCTGTTTGCTTATTCAGATTTGGGCATTTGGCAGATATTTGCTCAAAGATGAACAAAGCTGCTAAGCTTGGCTGTGTGCTGGGGGAGGCTATGTGCTGTCATTTCACAGAAAACAACTGATACAGCTTGCTGCCAGTGATAAAATTTGAGCTTTCAAGTGAAAACTGGAATTAAAACAAAACAAAACAAACAACTTGTATCTACCACACTGAGCTTGACAGCTTTCTGTATGTAAAAGACTTTTCTGGTGATACTGTTGGTGATATGAAGGTGACTTTTTGATACTGTATAGAGAAACATGTCAATAATTGGAAAACCCATATAACCCAGTGAACTAGTATGTTCCAAGTGATAAGTGCATGTCTTTACAAAATCATGCGTTTAGACCAATGGATTTTAATGAAAAGAGTAAAAAAGTTTATTGATATTGCAATCTCAGATCCCACAATGTAACTAAATTTTGAGGAATTATCTCTTGCCAAGTTTTGGTGAAGTATGAAAGTAGAGTATCTATAATTATCTGGCAAAGTTATCAGAACTCCCACCTTATCTATTCTAACTACATTATTTGTGTGAGGTCAGACTGTCTTTAAATATTTCAATGAAATAACACCATAAGAGAGAGATAGCAGAATCAGATAGGACATTTTAATTGTATCACATTAAGTCAGAGAGTGGAATGGAGATGTGCAAAATGGAAAACAATGTCACTTGTCTAATCTTTTATTTTTGGAAAACAGTTTTTTTTTTTCATAAAATATGTTAACATGTAATGGTTTTATTATTTTAAATAAGTTAAAATAGATATTTTAATATTTTTACATTAATTTCTAATATTCCAAATATCCATAGATATCATCTATATGAGCAAAAGTTTTTTGGGGTCTTCTTTTAAAAGTATAAAAAGATTCAGACCAAAAGAGGGTAAATGTTTTAGGTTTTGTGGTCCACAATGGCTTCTGTGGTAATGACTCAACTCTGCCATTATAGTGCAAAAGTAGCCAAAGACAATATAGAAACAATGGGCATGGTAGTATTGCAATAAAATTTTATTTATAAAAATAACCTGAGCTGGATTTGGTATTCAGGCAGGTCACAGTTTGCAGATCCCTAACTTGGACAGTCTTCTGAGTTAGTGATGCTAGAAGCCAGGTCATCATGTCATTCCACTCTCAGAATTTCCAAGAGTCCCCCTCTCACTCCAAGTCTTTGAAGTGGCCTGTCTCAGAACCTGTATACTTACTGTTCCTTCTGCCAGGAATGTTCTTCCTTGAAGTCTGCTCCAATGTCATCTTCCCAGAGAAAACTTCTTTGATACCTTATTTAAAACTGTATCCCTCTCTGTCTTTATTTTTATCTATAGCACTTACCACTTCCAAATATACTGTATGACTGACTTTATTACTTTTACTTATTTCCTGTCTTTATGTAACAGAATGTCAGCTCCTTGAGTGCAGGTTTGTTTTACTTTGCTCATCACATTATTCCCAACACCTAGAACAGTGTCTATTAGACAGCTGGTGTTGAATAAATAGACAAAATGTCTAAGATGTGCAAGAATCTTTTGGTAAAGCCAGCAAGCACTGACTGCTCTCCAGGAAGGAGTACACTGCTACTTTCCTGGTAGCTTTAAGCTCTGAGCATCTCCTATGAGTTTTATATGACCTATTACAACATTTACAATGAGGATGAGTAAGCTTGAGTTACTTTACAAAATTCATAAAACCAATCTCACCTTTAAGTCATATTTCCTATATACAGATAAACGGTGGCTGAACACGTTTCTTGTAACAATAACATATATTTCAACTCCGTCGACATTAAGCCGGTACATGCCCAAGAACTGGGGAAGAAGGGTGATCCCATGACATTCCACTATATACTGCATAGGAGAGAAACATAAAGGAAAAAAATCAAAAGATTGCTTGTTTGGATGTAAAATACACATGCCTATGGTGTTTATACACAGTGGAAACCTCCAACCATGAAGGTCCTATTTATAGCAATGACCCCATTTGCACTGCTTACCAGTCAAATCTGTGTTTACCATCTCCCCGCAGATAAGAAAATTCAATTTTCTCCCGAAAGAGAGATTTTTTCCCCCCAACATTCCAAACTAATCTGCAAGGTCAAGACTTGGATAAAACAGTGCAAGGCAAGAAGACATATGACTATCCTTTCTGAAATTCCTTTGAAGTTAAATTATACTCCACATAGGGCCTCTATCTTCCACTCTAAAAGTCCTGATGATAATCCCCAAGGTTGAGGCTGAGTGACCTGGTTGCTAAGATCAGCTTCCTTAAGAGTGTTAAAGTCGAGATTAAAGAGGAAATTGCAGAGAGCACAGAGCTAGAAGCTAGGAGCGCTGGGTGCTGGTCTAGTTTTTCTGTTTCTCACTGAGATTTTAATGTCTAGAACTAAACTGTCTAGCAGAGGTGAAGGGGAACCCTTGCAACCACAGACACCTTGTTATTGCTCTACGGGTAGATGGAGATTGTCTGCCACCCCCTTCACCACTGGCTTCAATCAAGTACACTGGACAAGTCCCATGGCTGACACCATTTCCAAGGAGAGTTGCAAAAACACAACACGAATTTAGCAGTCCTTCATGACCATACTCCAGAAAGCCACAAGGTGGAGCTGCTTTCCCTTGATAGCAGATTTTTATGAAATGGTTCCCATTGTACTTCCCAAAGTATACATTGGACATATTTGCAGAGATAGTGAAAGAATGGTTCACAAAATGTTGACGATGCAAGTGGAGGCAATATTGATCCTTTTTTTTTTTAAACTATATTGCTTGAGTTTTTCCTTTTTATACAATGAGCATTTTATAAAAATACAAAAGTAATTAGAATGTTCTTTCAAACTCTTTATTTGTAAACAATGCTAATAATCAATTCTGGTAATATTTAACTACCTTAAGAATTAAAAAGTCTTCAGTCTTTCAGTAAAGTAAAAAGGAACAGCATCAGTATCTGAGTTTTGTTTTTGCCACACAGAGTTTTGGCAGATTTTAAAGATGCTTCTGCTCTTTTTTCTTACTGACAATAACTGAGTTATATATTTTATTTGATATATTTTCTCAGTAGAGATTCACCTTCATTTATTATTTGAAATCATATGAATGGAACATTTTCTGTTTCTCTCTTATCAAAATATAATTTGAGTTTTGCTAATGCAAAATATGTGATAAATAGTCCTTGGGTGAGAAGAAAACTTCTCACATCTGATCTAAAGAAATCTGTTGCTTAGCATCTCTGAAGAAAGGTAGGTGGATGGGCTTTAAGACATGGAGACTGAGGGAGTGTGTGTTGGGTAAGTGCAGCAGAAAGAACCTAGGTTTGTGAGCCAGAAACATGTGCCTATGCATCCTGGAGCCTCCGTTTACTAGCTGTGAGATCTTGAGCAAGTTACTAAATCACTGTACATTTTTGTTTCATTTTCCAGGAAATGAGCACCATAATTCCTACCTTGGAGGTGTTTTGAGGATTACAGATAATAGTATGTCAATATACTTCACACAATGCTGTGTACTATATTGCAAATGATAATAATTATTTTCATTCAAAACTCTGTTAAGAAATTTTAATGTCACACCTGTTTTGTACTCCTAACAGATTCACATTCTGTGGTAGTTATTTCTGATCCCATGAGACACAATCCCTGCCACCCTGGGCACACACCAATTTTCATTTTCCTGCCCAACCCCTCTGTGCTGTTCTGCTCAGATCCTCATCATGAACTAACTTCAAAGTCCTGTCCACAGAAATATCTCTTTGATCCATACCTTTGTGCAGAGTCACAGAACACCATGACTCATAGCAGGGACTAACCATTATTCATGCTGACAAATATGTTAAAGAAATCTTTTGACTACTAACTGAGCATCCATTGTATACCTGGACTGAGAGCAGTGCTGACTTCAGCAAGGAACAGAGACATTTTGTTCTTGCCTATGTGCGACTCATTCTACCTCAGAGGGAAAAAGAGGGACACCACAAGGGAGTGGCCTTGACTTCCTGCTGCCCCATTTCCCAGTGATATCACTTGGATATTTGTCCCCTCCAAACCTCATGTTGAAATTTGATCCCCAGTGGTGGAGGTGAGACCTGGTGGAGTGTCTGGGTCATGGGGGTTATCTCTATAAATGGCGTGGTGCCATCAGGAGAACTGTTTGTTAAAAAGAACCTGGTACCTATTCCTCTCTCTCTTTTCTCTTCTCTCTCCACAAAATGAGGATTCCCCTTTACTTTTTGCCCTGAGTGGAAGCTTTCTGAGGTTCTTATCTGAAGTAGATGCTAGCACCAAGCTTCTTGTATATCCTGCAAAACCATGAGCTAAATAAACCCCTTTTCTTTATAAATTATCCAGCTTCAAGTGTTCTTTATAGCATCATAAATAAACAAAGACACCTAGCATCTGCATGGTAGTTCCCCTTCCAAGACCAGTCCCTTCCATCACTCTGGGATCTGTCTTGTTGGGTTCTTATGCATCACCCCTCTCAATCCAGGCTCTTCAATCTCTCTCCCTCCACTGGTGGCTTCTCAACAGTGCTTAAATGTGCTAAAGTTTCTCTCACAAAACAAAAACCAAAAAACAAAACACTTCCTCAATTGCAGAGATGTGACAATCAGATGGCAACGTCTTGCACTGCCTGGATCATAGCTTACACAAACATTTTGAGGGCAACTGGGGATACCAAACTATGCCACTCAATAGTTGTTTGGTGATATTAAGGAATTAACTGTCGATTTTGTTAGTGTGTGAAGTCCTTATGCTTCAGAGAAGCACATATCTATGATTTACTTTGAAATACTTCAACAACAACAAAAAAGATGCAAACATGATAAGCATGTTAATGGTTGTTACATCTAAGTAATGGATATATGCTACCAATTTTCTGCACATTTGAAATTTTTATTAAAAAAGTAAAAATAAATACAATCCCTTCTTTGACACTGTTTATTTCTGGTCTTTCTCTCTCCTGAGCAACTACTTAAGAGTTGTCCACGCTTTTCTGTTTTTCCTTATCTCCTATCCATTCTGCAGCTGATTCCTGCCCCTTCAGGGCAGCTGTTCTTGCTGAGATAATCCATGACCCTTGAGTGGTTAAATTTGACAGATGCTTCTCATTCTCTCACTCAAACCCTCTGAGCACAGGACATTCTGTCTAGGGACTTTTCCTGACACTACTTCCTTGGCCTCTGAGATACCAGTCTCTGAGGCACCATGCTCTCCTGGTCCCTCTTTTTCCTACTCTTTGGCCAATTCCTCCTTTCTACATGCTCATTAAATATGGGACTTGCTTAGGGTCTTGAACTAGACGCCCTCTCATCTTCTCACTCCACACTGTTCATAGGCTGCCTCGTCCACACTTTTTGTTTCTGTTTCTCAATAACATCTAAACTCATTATTTCCAGTCAATAACCTTTTGAGCTTCACCTTGACATAAGATTCAACTAGTTTAATATGGCTTCTTTGTCAAATGTAACTCTATGACGGTAGCAAACACTGTGTCTGTTTTAAGCAAGCTCTTAGCAGGATGTAGCATGTAAATACTACATAATACTTAACTGTTGAATAAATAAATGAATGGAGCAAATTAAAGGAAAACCCTAAGATGTTTCTTACAGGTGCTTACTCTATCTGCTATCGTTATAATTAATACTTTGACTCTCACCTCCAGGTGTTGTAAATACGAAAATTCTAGATTTTGAAAGCAGAAAAAAATCCACTGTGATTTATAATGAAAGGGAAGCCCAAAGTTTTTCTCATGATGGCCATGATAAAGAACATCATACAAGAAAAAAGTAGGAAAAAAGGGAGGCATGTGTCAGCCATGAAAGGAGGAAAAGGGGGTACTATAAAATAATTGTATAAGGGTGTTAATCTTATAAAAACAGCTGTCACATGATTAACTTGGGGGAGAACTTGGAAGTGGCTGCAGTGTACATGCTTTAGAGAACAAAACTGCATCTGTAACCTGCACCACTCCATGTTCTTATTCCCTGTCCATTGGGCCTCATGTGAGGAATTTGACTTTGGGGAAAGGAGGTAGAAAAGAATAATGACCTGAGCAATATCAATTTGTTCTGAAATAAGAGTAAATAATTATATCCCATGATTTATATAGAATTTACACTTAAAATTCTCCCAACTTCCCAAAGTTTGTGTGCACTTACAAAGCTGATAAATGGTGACCTCTTAAAGCCACAGAAGGACTTGCACCGCAGTTAGAGGTTGTCTGCCTCAGCCCCTTGGCTCCTCTCTATCCTCACACCAACAAGGGAGGGGATCTTTGGGCATCATTCTGCTTAGATGTGATGCTCCCAAACAAACAAGGGAGAAACTTATTGCTTTTAAGATGTGCACTCTGAAGGATGTGGAGATGAGGGTAACAGGGCCTGCAGATGACTCAAGCTGGGGCAAGATGAAACAAGACCCTGGGGAGAGGGATGGAGAAGGCAAGCAGGAAGAGGTGAGGGTGACAGACTTCCACAAGCACCTGATGTGTGCTTAAAATGCTTTGGCAGACACAGGTAATATCTTAAATGCATGATGGGAACCCCCAATTTCAAGGACTCCGTAAAATAAAGACTTGCCCAAAATGAATAATGCTGCATATGTCTCTCTCTGTGTATTTGTTTATAAAGTGAGATAATATTTTTGTAAATATAAAAGAAATATTTTTGTAAATATAAAAAATTATTTCTAGCCGGACTCGGTGGCTCAGCCTGTAATCCCACGCCTTTGGGAGGCTGAGGTGAGTGGATTGCCTGATCCCGCGGGTTCGAGACCCGCCTGGGCAGCGAGACCTCATCTCTACAAAAAATTAAAAAATTAGCCGGGCGTGGTAGTGCATGCCTGTAATTCCGGCTA